ATACATTAAATCTACAGTATTATAATTAAACAGAAGGTATTTATGCATGGGTGAATACCTTCAGTGCTTTCATATAAGATATAGACTTATCCCTGTAATTATTCATAATGTACCTTAATAACAATGGATAGAGATATAAAACTTCAAATTCTATATCTGCTACATGTATAAGACTACAGGGCAATCTTACCCTGCACATAGTAGTGGAAAGAGAATCACCAAACTACTTATCCTATCAAAGTAAGAGTGGAGTAATTTCATAGTCTTCAGATCTCTCACAGATAGCTATCATGGGAAAATTTGTGAAAAATTTTCATCAGAAAAGTCATAAAAACATTCTAGAGCCTGGGGAGAAAAGAGGATACCCTATAATATGCATTTCATAATTTGAAAAGAAGTATTTAGCTAATGTTTTTCAATTTCAAACTGAAAAGTATTCAAAATGATATATAATCTCCAAGTTGAATCAAATTCTAATTTACAAAATTATAAGGCTGACAGAACTTGGTCCAAGTAACTTATTCTTAACAAATGATTAAATGACTTAAGATATATTCCAAAGCAGTAGCAGAACTAGGTCTAGAAGCTGGATAATATGATTCTCTGGGAGAGTTTTTCCTGCTATCCTTTACTACCAATTAACCACTAAATAACCTAGCTAGAAAAATTTTTAAAAATATTTTTTTAGTTGTAGATGGACATAATATCTTTATTTTTTTATGTGGTGCTGAGGATCAAACCCAGTACCTTCCACATACAAGGCGAGCACTCTACCACTGAGCCACAACCCCAGCCTCCCTAGCTAGAAAATTATCTGCTGGTTCAAATAAAAAAGGGAATGAAAGTTACACACTCCAAAACCAACCCAAGGAAGGGGATTCCAAATGGACTTTTGTTTCTATTGTAAAAAACTTAAACATTTACTAATTGTTATCAAACAACTTTTCTAGGTTTTTAAAAATGCTACAGAAATTAAAAAATATATTTATAATGCAAGAACTCATCTCAGTAGTCTCCATAATTATAAAAACCAAATGTCTACATCAGCACTATCCAACAGAAATTTTTGAGAGAACGGAAATTTTCTGTATCTTTACTCTTTAATATGGTAACCACGAGCAACATGTACTACTGAGCATGTAAAAGGCGGCTACTATAACTGAGAAGTTTTTTACTTTAATTAAATTTAAACAGTCATGTATACCTAATGGCTACCATATCAGACAGTGCAAATTTAGATAATCCCTACAACGTACAGAATTAGCTAGTGAAATAATGAAAACTGAGCAGTGCTTTTATAGAGTGCCTGCCATGTAAGGCAGGTGCAATCGCTTGGAAAGAATATACCATTCTGTATTAACGACCTCTGGGACCCCAAATAAGGCCAATATTTATCAACAAAAAGAAGCTGACGAAGATCATACAATCTTAGTTATACATCTCATTGGGAAAATGTGGCTAAAAGTACTCACCTTTATGGGTACCAAATTAATAAATTTCTTTGCATATGAATTTATCACATAAAATGAAAAGCACCACGTACAAGATTCAGTATCCCTTATCTAAAATTCTTGGAACCAGAAATATTTTAGATTTTGGAATTTTTCAGGTTTTGGAATATTTGCACAGAGTTTAACAGTTCAGCATTCCTAGTCTGAAAATTCAAAATGCTCTACAATCAGAAACTTTTTTTTTTCCTACTGCCATGGTACTCAAAAAAGTTTTGCATTTTAAGATTTTTGGGTAGGGAATGATCATTTCTATGACTCACTTGGGTAAATGAAAATATGACCATAAACCAATAAAAAAGATGCTTCTCTAAGTCTAGCCTCAACAGTAGGATTAAACACCTGAGGCAATAGTCAAGTGAATTTGCACATCACTGCCTCATTATAATTAAACTATACATTAAAAAGGGTATTCTGACTAGACCAAAAGGTGACTTGTCTATCCACATTTTTTATTTTTCAAGGCTAACTTTTCAATTCTTTAGCAGCTAACAGATATGAATTAAAAGGTAATAAACAATGCCAGAAATCGGAAGGCAAAAGACAAAGTACTGGCAAAGTTGCTGGCAAAATACTGACAAGGTTCCTTTACTCCAAAAGAACAATGAAACAGCTCTTTGCTGTCTGGCCACCGTTCATTGCTGTAGTGGTAACTACAGAAGTCCAGGAATAGTTCTCAATTCACATGTTTCAAGTCTATAGAAATATAGGTAATAATATGACCTAAAAGAGTTATAGCATTTTAAACATTTTAACTGCTTGCTTGAAGACTATATGTGATCCTTATAATAACTCTATTAAGTAAATAAGAAATAGTCTGATACTCCAAGAAGCTGAAAATCACTCTCAGGCTTAAACACAAGCATATTATTATAAAGCATTCTCCTCATCTTTTATAATGAGATTCATTTATATATTTATATATACTTCCTTGCTTAAGGAAAACAAAACAAAAAGGTTCCAGCCACTCAAATTAACTAAATAGTAATTTTCAGATTTGGGTAATAATCTTCCAAAGACAGATAAAACAAATTCTTATTAAATTCAAAATTCATATTGACAGGGGATACATGTATCTTTCAAAATGCCTGAAAAACCAAGCATTAAAATCAATCTTTTTAAAAAATTAATTTATAAGCTTTTCAATTATTAGTGACACATCTGTTATTTAAGTTAAAGTACTGGTATGCTTATTATTAAAAGGAAAATGTCCATACAAATTTTTAAACTTAAACTTCAATGAATAAATTTGTTTCCCTATATATCCTTTTATCTGAAGGGGTAGTCTCCTTCTGTATCTTATTACTATTTTTTTCTTTTTTCATGTGGATTGGCTTCCAATCCTCTTCTTTCCTATTCTCTGAATTGTCTACTCATAAATTAAAACTCATAATTTTTTTTTTTTTTGCCAATAAGGAGTGGTTCACTTTGTTTTAAATTACCACCATTTAAAATCTGTTAAACAAGGCGTATCTATGTAAAATGGGGATTTTAAAGGGTATAAAACTCCTAAGGAAAATAAACAACAAACAGAAATCCTAACTAAAAATCTTATTTATATTATTAAAAATGTACTTCCATTGATACATTAAATAACATCATGTTTTACCCTAAATTGAGGTAAATGATTTGTCAGTAAATATATCATTTTAAATTTCACCTTAAAAATTAACCCACTAACGAACTGTACGACAAAGAGAATAAAATTTACTGTTTACAAACTTAAAAATAAATTTTAAATAAATAATCCAGTTAAGAACAAATCTTTATTACAAAACTATGATCTTTAAAAAAAATGGCAGACGTATCATTTCAATAAGGAATTTGTTACTAGTATAATCCTTAATATATTTAGGATATTTTCCATAACAAGTTACCTTTACCACAATGTAATCATCCATTTTAGACTTCAAAATCAACCTATTGAAATTAATAGGAGTGTGAGCAACTTCTTTCTAATAATATTTACATACTCTGGAGCCAGGTGCAAAGACATGCCTGTAATCCCCAAGGAGCCCTGGCAAGAGGATTTCAAGTTCAAAGTTTAGTGAGGCAACTTAGTGAAGCCCTAAGAAACTTAGTGAGACCCTATCTCAAAATAAATAATAGAAGAAAAATGGGGGAGGGGGGACTGGAAATGTGACTCAGTGGTTCAGTGCCCCTGGTTTCAATCTCTGGTACCCCGGAAAAAAACCCAATATAAAAACCATATATATATTTATGTATTTTTAACATAATCTCAAAAGAATTATATATGACTGTTGCTTTAAGGAAAATTCAAAAACTAAAATTCTGAGACTTTGGGACTGGGGAGGTTGTTCAGTGGTAGAGTACTTACCTTACATGCATGAGGCCCTGGGCTCAAGCCTCAATGCCAGAAAAAAATAATTTTTTATTTTTTTGGAGGCTTCAGTTCTAGTTCAGTTATTTGGGGAACTTCAACTTGAACATTATAATTAGGTTAGAAATATACTCTTAAATTTAGTATAAGCATGAGATGTGGTTTTAGATTCTGGTTGTCAAAATGCATATCAGAAAATAACCATTTAACATAAATGATTTGTTGAAATCTCACACATTTCTATGAAGGCCCAGGAAGTGTCATATAAATACAATAAAAGTGAAGTGTAATCTTCACTTTCTATAACATAACGAACATGAAAATGAACTGCTACTTATCACGAAAGAACAGGAGCTGTCTCAACTATTTATTATCACTGACATCAAATTTAGATATTAAATAAACACTAAAAGAAGACTTAGGTACTAAGATGAAGTCAGGGACATATAATTCTTTATTTCTAACTAGACAAATTCTGTGATTATCCCTTAATCTAAGAAGAGATTACAAATCAGCAAAACAAAATTAAGTTTGAATATTGGGGAAGAAAATTCATTCAAATACAGTCATTTAAAAGTTGCCAACAATGTGGAAAGCTGAATTAAGGCCAAAGCATCAAAAATCTACATTGTAAACATTAGTTTGCTTATTAAAGACCAATCAATGTGCTGTACTGTCTTTAACAAGAAGGTTTAGATTCCAATGGTCTCAAATTATCCTGGACCAAACTGAGAGAAACCAAAGACTTATTTGTCCTTTTTGGTACTCTTGTTTCCCCACCCTTACCAAAATTATTATATACTGCATCATTGTTTATTTTTCAAATTTTCTTTTGCTTCTGTTCATTTTTTCCTCATTATTCTTATTGGTGCATTACATTTGTACATAGTGGTGGGATTTGTAGTTACATATCCATACATGCACATAACAATATAGTTTGGCCAATATCATTCCCCAACTGCACAATTATTTGGCTAGAAAATGGTTCATTTACATTGTAAACATCAAACATTTAGAGGTATGATTAAAATAACTAAAGCAGAATAATAACCTGTTTCTACCACTGTGTACACACTTATCTGTAGGGTGGCTGGCATTTAAAATTTTACAACCTATCCAGTAAGAATGCTAAGAGAAAACAGTTGACAAACCTGAAAAAATAGCTTCTTTCAAATATATTAACACATGGGAGAACTTCCTGATATCATTCACCAACTCCTTGATGTAGTCCGGATCAAAACTGGAGTTGGAACTTATGGACTTGAGCCCCATTTCAGAAGTTGTAACATCAGTAGAGAGTTGGCCTGATGCCCAAACACGTTTTTTCTTTGCCTTTTTCTGTTTGTGAGCAAGCATCCTCTCATTTAACAATCAGAAAAACTGAAATCCTTAAGGGGGCAAGAAACAAAAAAAAAAGAGAGAGAGAGAGAGAGAAACACAAATACTACATCAGCCAAGAAAACATATTAGAGTTTCACAAATTGCCCACAGTCCACCTTAGTCTCCTGTTTTCAATTTTAAAAACAAATGAATAAAACTCTGTACTATGAATAATAGCTTCCATTCATTAAGTGTCCATAATCCTGACAATGCCCAATATGCAAACTATCATTCTTTTCATTTCACAAGTGAGGAACCTGAGGTTTAGAGGTTTAAAAATATGTCTATGTTCTCAGCTGATAAATGATGAACTCTTGAGTTAAATCTAGATCTGCTTTAACTTCCTCTTAATTCCTAAGGTACATAATATTTTTAATTGTAAAAATTGTTCTGAAACATCACTTAGTAGGTCACATCTTCCCTCTATAATATAACCTTCAAAAATAAAGATGAAATATGGACTCTGAAAAAGAAATGTTTTTAAAATCCTCTTCCATTATTTACTATATGCCCTTAGAAGCTGTTAATCATCTCTTCACTTTAGTATGCTTATTTATAAAATCAGAAAAACATCCTGACAACACCTACCTCAGAAGCTTATTTTACAGAATTAAATAAGACAGTAGTATGTAAGTATCCATTGAGCACATAAAAGTAGTTTAATTACAGTTATTTTTTCTAGTGATATATATACATGTACACATACACGCTGACATTCTGGGTTATTAAGTTTCATGAAGAACATTTTTTGTTGAAAAATAGTTCTAAGAATGTCCCCTAATTTGATGTATCCTGACTGTACAAATAAATGTCATGTTATCAGAGAAATATTTCTGGTAATTTAACAATGGAATAGTGAAAAGGCAATGTTTAGAATTATAAAAAAAAAAAGATTTGAATCCTGGCTCCAGTGTTTTCCAGATGTGTGACTTATACAATTCATACTCAGGTTTGTGAGAAGATTAAAAGGCATCACAAAATTTAGAAATTTTTGTGTTAAAACATCTAATCCTAGCCCACTGGGACTCAAGAGAATCTTGAGGAATTTCTTCTTCATCCTTATTTTAACTTTCCAGAATAAAATCCCCAACTATTTTAAATTTCTTGAAATCAAAAAGGAAACAACTTGAGGAATTAGCCCAAGCATGATCATTAAAAGAGTTTTCAAATATTTTGTCTTAAATATTTGGACACTTTCAAAATGTAAAATGACTAAGGACTTCTATGAATTCACAGTACAAAGTTTTATGTAATGTTTTCATCATTTGTTAAAATACATTACTGTACCATGTACTATTACACCATGCCCAATTCCACTGATTTGGTTTCTCCCTGGGATTACAGTTCTCTAGTCTATCCCATTCTATTTCTGCCTCTCCCACACTAGTGAATTGTCATTTCTTGCCTGAGCTACTGCACTAATTTCCTAATGATCATTCCACAACCATTCTCGTCCCATTATAAATGTAGCGAGTAAACTTTTCAAACATAAATCTCATGGTGCCATTTCTCTGCTCAAACCTTCCAAAGGACAAGTGAAAAAATGTCGTACTCTGTGAGGCTCAAAGTGAGATGTGGTGGCTCTTGCCTGGTCCTGCAATGTTATCTGAAGTCACACTCCTGGCTCTCAACACTCCTGCCATAAACATCTCCTTTTCCTTCTAACAGTATTTGTGTACTTTCACCCTCAGTATGAAACATCATGACCAGTATAGATACATTAGTATGTAATGTTGGTGTGTGGTATGTGTCAGATCTATTTGTCTTTCATAAAACAGATTCTAGCTAAGGATCTATGAGATATACTCAGATTTTTTTCATTCTATTCCATTTTATTTTTATAAATGCTGGTTGCAACTCGCTAAATTGTTTTTATACATGTAACGGGGGTCATGACATTATAGCTTAAAAAATACCTACTATTCACATCAGGGTCCAGTCTACATGCAGATCCATTTGCCTGCAATATTCCTTCTTCTCCTTCACTCACTCACTCTGATCTTACCCAAAGATCACTTCCTCAGAGAAACTTTCCTGCACTACTCCCATGGCCCCATAATCACCATCACCCAACTAGAACAGAAGCCCTAGAGATGATCTAGAGCATCCTACACTGTTCATCACTGCATTTACCACAGTCCAAATAGATAATTCAGATCTTACCATTTAGACTAGAATCTTAAGGAAATTAAGACCTTGTCTTGGTTGTTAATCATTTGTTCTCTGTTTGCAGCACAGTGCTTTACAAGAGAAAGGATGAACTACTCAAACTATTTGCAGAATGAATGGATATAAATTAATAAAGTTACAACTGACTTTAACAGACAACAAAATAACTAGGTTTTTGCAATATTTCAAACAGAAATAATTTTTCAAAAAAAAATCTATCTCTTTTTTAAAAAAGGACATGAAGCTGAGTAAAGGCAAAATTACATAAAATTGAAATAAAAGTTATATTTCTATTCTGTTCCTTCTAATTATAGCTTTTTAAATTCCTTTATTCAATATTCTTTTGTTAATTCCAAATTATTTAAGAATAGAATTTTACACTTCAACTAGTTTCAAGTCTATCTAATATTAATCCTTAAATGTGTAATTTCTAAAATGAACCTAGGATGATTTTTTAGTAGTATAATTATACCTAGCTTTTGCCATCAACAGAAATAAACAAAACAAAAAATTTAAGTGCCTTGTTTGGGCAGCTCTTGTACAAATCACTAACTGAAGAGCTCTTAGCCCAACAAATCTTATCACTTTTGCAGTTTACTTAAAGTCATTGTTTACCTCTGGCAGCTTTTAAATTTAGTAAATTAGGCAACTGGTCACTGTTATTGGTAAACATGTTTATAAAAACTAAAGATATATCACAAGTTTCAAATAAAACGTCTCACCTGAGTAAAAAGAATGTACTTAAGTAACTGTGTCAAATCAGTAACCCAAAGTTGTAAAAAAAAAAAAAAAAAAAAAATACTTGAAAATGTTTATACAAGACAGAGAAATATGTTCTCTCTCTCCCCCTCCCATTCACACAAGGGGCACTAAAAAGGATTATATTCTACCTCTAGCCAATATTATGATTAATGTTCTAATTCTGTGTTTCTACTACTTTTCACATTTAAAACTGGGAAAGGGAAACATTAATATTACAACTGATAAAATGTTTAGAATACAAATATAAGCCAAGTTTTAATAACTGAACTATGACAAATAAAGTTTAGACAATATACACTTTTCCATGATCATTAATATACTACTTATAAGGTACTTTTCATTTTCCTTTATAACAAAGTGGATATTTCTAGTGAGAGGTGACATAAAATGTAGTTAATAATAGATTGCAGCTAGTAATTTAATTAAGTTGGGTGCTAATGCATGAAAAGTACTTAGCATAGCACCTGGTTCATCATGAAGACTCAATAACTGTTAGTCATCATTAGTTGCAGTGTTTTATTGTTTTTCCACACACTTAAGTAATAAATGTGACTTCACTACATCTGTAGATTGTGAGCAAGAAGCAATTCCAGAGATTTAACTGACTTCATGAAAACCTACTAAAAGCCTTCCAAGTGAAGTTTGAACTGTATAAACAGACAGTTGAACTCTAATTCTTATAACATTTCTTCCAACTCTGAACCATAGACATTAAAAACATACATTACCCACTTATCATAGAATTTTGTAGCAAGCAGAAAATCACCATGTAAAACTACTTTCTCTGTTTATTCTAAATTCTAAGTAATATAAATTAGAAATATGGACACAGGGTGGGAGTAGCTCAGTGGCAAAGTGCTTGCCTAGCATGTGGCAGGCCCTGGGTTGATCCCAAGCACTGAAAGTGGGTGGGGGGCAATGAAATAAATGAAGAAAGAAAGTTATATACAAACTTCCTGTCTCCCAAGTGGCTTTTCCAACACTTCAGTAACCTGTGTCAATCAATATCCCCTATTCCATGCACATACAACCCCAAAAATGCACATTATAGAAGTATTTTATTTAAGGTACTGGACTACTTGAAGTGTGAAATGAATTGTTCTCAAGTATCTGTATTTAATAGGACCCATTCTTACTATTTCCACTACAGGGAAAACTGTAGATGTTTCAGAAACCTGCTATTTTAGCACAATTTCTGATATGGTAAGAATCTATTTAAAGATGCTAAAAAAAAAAAAAAATCAGAAGAGTTCTGAAGGTCTTTAATTACATTTTTAAACGCACTCCCAAGTCTAGTGCAGTGGCACACACCTGCAATTCCAGCTACTTGAGAGGATGAGGCAGGAAGATGGCAACCTCCAAGACAGCCCCAGCAATTCAGCAAATTAAAAAAATAAAAAAGGCTGGAGCTCAGTGGTAAAATGCCCCTGGGTTAAATTTCCAGTAACATAGCAAAACAACAAAACACCCCCCCCCCAAAAAAAAAAAGAACAGGGAGTGTTTTATCAATAACATGTAAACAATTTCCAAAGGAAGGCGTACAACACACATACACTTCATTCCTGTACAGTTTGAACCCAGCATGCTTAAAAAAGAGGAAGCTGCCCAGCCTCCCACGCCTCCAAAATGTCTAGCATTCCTGGCAGGCAAGGCTTGTCTCAGACCAGCCAAAACTACCCAATGGCAAAGAGCACGTTCCCCATCCTGGACTTAAATACAGAAGGAAAGAGAGAGAACCACCATCACCACCACCACTCCAGCTTCTCCCCAAAGGCCTAGTAACAACAGACAAAAGACATGACAGACAAGAGACAGTCATGAAGACAGAAGGGAAGGAGTGCTTAGCTCTTGCCTTTCGCAGGTAAAATACTGTCCTCTGAAAAGGTAAGAGGCAAATTCCCTCCTGAGAAAGAATGTGAACAAATAAACAAAGGCACAGGTTCATCTGGCATTAGGGTTCAACCTTGAACCATCTCAGACTTGACCTCATCCCTTCAAAGAAAAAAAAAATTAAATTGAAGCCATCAAACCTCAAAACCCATTCAAAATAGAATTGAGACAAAACCACTGAGCTTGA